GAACCTTGGAAAGAAATATGTGATTTACATTTCCAGCAGGAAGTGATAGCTGCACATCTTCTGAATGGAAAAATCAAGAGTGTGCTTACAAACACCATAAAGCATGCATAATAAAGAAAACTGATCATCTATCCAGATCTATAACCAGCAAGAATTGGTAGACAATAAACTGCTAAAAAACATGGTACCTCGTATTCTTCAAACTCACAGCCTTCTATCACGATTACTGTAGGAGCATCACTCGAAGGTGGACGCATCAACCCTTGGGCTTGCACCACTGTGACCTTCAGCTCTACTAAGTCCTCATTGTCAATCCTCAAGCGTTTGGTTTTTGAACCCAGGGTGCTACTCTTCCTCTTACAACGAATAGAACGATTGTTTCCTAAAAATTCCATAGCCATATCATCGGACATTTTAGTTTCAGCCCAGGCAATTGTTGAATCTGCTGGAGCAACATGAGTGGTTGATGAAAAGCCTTTTTTAGTAGAATTTGCCAGAACTTCAGAGAACTTAGTACTTTTAGTATTGACATTCCCATTTGTAACAACACCGTTACTGTTACTGCAAGCTTCACTTCCCTGTTAATAGAAGGCCAAGTAAGAACAAATGGAGGTCTGAATTCAACAGCTTTTCAAAAGAACCTATACGCGATGAGCACCATGAGTAACTAAGACACATAAAAGTGTTGAAATAAATTGCAGAAAGGATCCATATGGTTTATTATCCCTATTCTGACATGCTTTTCTTGTTAGCCAAGGTTTAATATTTTCAGCGTAGAGGTCTTAACTTTTGTTTCCAGATAATCTCAGAGCTTGTAAATCAAGACAGTACACCACGAGGAGGCGAAGAAGCTACTAATTAGGAATTGGCAAACCTGATCTGCTGTAAGAGTAGTTGAGGCCTTTCTGCACCCCATGACCAACTTTCCTTCTGGCTCTATCCTACTGAATGTTACTGATGGAAAAAACACGCTCAGTCAGCAAGATGCCTCTAACACGCGGACAGAAATTAAGAAAAGTAAACGAATTTAAGGCCTACAGACAATTTCCTACTGATATCGCAAGCCAAGAATGGCAGTTCAATAGTTAGCCACCCAAACAATCAAAATATCAAATAAGCCACTACGCTCTAACGACAAAAATCTCTCTTTCGTTAAGAGCAATCTTTCTCACCTTCCCCACCAGATCCATCAAGGAAGAAAAACTAGAAAATAATTAGTTGTCGAACAGATGAAATTACCTATGTCACCTGCTTGCAATTGCATCGATTGTATACAAGGAGTCACCCCTTCCAAGACATACATACGACTGTTATTATTAGGCCAAAATCTGAACTGAAACATCCATTCCTTCCCTTTCAGATCTTGCACCTTGAGAGGCAGCCCTTCTGGATTAGAAATTGGTGGAAAATAGGCCTTCATCAAAGTAAAACTTTGTCAGAACAGGAAAAGAATGTGATACCTTTCAGTTAAAAGGGAGAAAATATGTATATATTAATCAATTACACAATAATCCTCAACGAATTTGATCAGTGAATTTTTTTCTCAACCAGCTTACGAATGGAGAAAGCCAGAACTTCAGCAAAGAAGACGAGCAAATCAAAAGCTAGGAGACAATATCAAAAGCTATGTACCATGAACAGAAATAATGAAATTTAGATTTATTAAAGACGAGCAAATCCTATACCACCCCTGGCCCAAAGTAGATAGAATTATTTTCTATTTCATTTGTGTGCCTTTACCCCTTAGGGAAAGGCATGCGCACAGGAGCCCTTCCTAGATTATAGAGACACACACAACTCACTCGATGTACTTTCACTACCACACCCTTCCTATAGAACAAAAGCAACTATTAAGGCATTTGGACATAAACGTATTTGCAAATACACAAATATTATTTGCAAATCAATGTTTGTTTTCCAATTTCGTTCATTATTTCAACTTCAACTTGAAATAAGAATCTGACGTCGAAAAACTGCTCTGAGTATTTCAAGTGATATATAGGTTGTTTTTGCTCACAAAACTTCTACTTCTCTCTAAGTGAAATTCATGTCCAAACACAAATTTAACTTCCAAATACTCTTTTTCAGCTTCAATTACTCGATTTTTTAAATTCACCCAAATATTGTCCAAACGGGAAGTCATTTGATAGAACACTTGTATTTTCTAACCCTTATTGAATACAAAAATTTTCTCAGATATTCTAATGTTTCAATAACCAAGTTTTTTCTTGGATTTGTTCAATCCTGAAGGAATAACAGATCTGAAAAGAAAAAAGAGTAGAGCAAAGGAGCTCACCTCAGCACATTTCTTCGGCAATACTAACCGTCCTATCCTTCCAGCGTCACTAGCACTTAGCATCTTTTCAAACAAAGGAGTAATTACAGAATTTGAGCTAAAACATTGTCAAGGTTGTAAACAATTAGCTGACTTGAACCCAGCCACTTGGCGAATAAACATATCCTTGTAATTTTGGCAAACGAGTATTGCACCAGATGCATTAGCAATCAGCAAAGAAGCAGTGCATCTCAAACGAATTTTGTATTGTACAACCGTGCATAATATAACCACAGGAAATTATTTCATTAAGACATCTCCATTATTTCAAAAGGTCCTTTAAAAACAAAGGATACTCTCCAGATATTTGTTGTAGCTCTTCATCCGTTATGCGAGGCCAGTAACGAGGAAGTAAATGATGCTTTCCTCTCCCATCTCCACGGGTTTTCGAATTGCGCACTTGAGTCTCTCCAGCGTAATCCACTGTAGCATGACCACCAAGCTGCTTCCCCAAAGGAGTCGAAAGTGTGGTTTGTTGTTGGAGACTAACAGACACCTTACTGTGATCAGTTGGTTCATTTTTGCAAGCAGAACCGATGGTCAAAGAAAAACTGGGAGCAGAAAGATCATTCTTTGCATAAGATAATTGTGGTGGACCACTTATACAAGACTTAGGGGGCTCCTCATGATTAAGACCTGTAAGACAATGGTTACTCCATATTAGAACAGCCTAAACCTGTAATTATCACTGTAGTACAACAGCTTAGATATGAGTAAACCAAGAGCATTTCCAGTTTCAAAAAAAAATCTATGTGGTAAGTGAATATCAGTACCAGCATATCCATTTTCAAGTGTTCCTGGTACACCAATCTTCAGATTTCCATTCATCAACTTTTCACAAGAGTCCTTCCTGTTGTTGTCGGAGGACGAGGTAGACGGTCTCTCACCAAGACAAAGTCTGTCGACGCTGCCTGTGGCATCAAGAAAGGGTGTCCTGGGCTGCAACTCATTTTGAATGGCGGAACCATTAAATAAACTTGGTGCTTGTCTCCATGGAACAGGACCAGAACCAGCTATTGGATTCCAATTATTGACGTCTTTAATTCTTTCAGGCTGCAGAGGATGGAAAAGTGAAGGTGGAGGCCAGGCAGGATTTGGGGTCTGATCAAATATGAATATGAAGTCAAAATTAAGAAAACAATTTTACTTATTGACAAAATGTGATGAAGACAAAAAAACTCTTATGCATACACACAAATCAAGCCAATGATACTATTAAAATTAGGAAAGGTTCTAAATAAGAGTTTTTTAAAGTGCACCACATTTTGTTTAAGAGGTTATCTAATATGGATACACAATCTTCTTTTTTCCTTTCTATTCTTTTTCTTTTCCTATTTTTTGTTTGTGCAGGAGGAGGGGTGCATTTTTTGCTTTGATATTGTTCATCCGGTCAGTGTAAGCAATTTCAATGGGGCAAAACATGAAAATGAGAAAATTACCGATACATAAACTGTCAATTTATAGATAAGAATTCCCCAAGATCACAGGGAAACACTCTTAGATAGGGCCATCACTCACATTCCTATTTACCTTGACCATAGCTAGCATATTAGCGGCTCAGCTGTATAACTTACACGAGGCCTAGGATGGAAAAATACCAATTCAGTAAGCTCATGCTAGGTACACAAACAACTTCAACTAAGAGATCTAAGTGTGACATCTGGAGGACCAGGCTAAGCTCCAACCTGTGAAAGGATAGGTCAAATGGCAGCAATGACCTGGGTAATTGGAAGCAGAAAAATAAATTCACCCTAATGCAACATACGTGTATTGTTCTTCGACCACTTCATCTTAGCCAAAAGGCCGAGAAAGGAATTATTTGACCCCTTCCTCAAACTTCCAAAACAACTAAAATATTTACCAGAAGCATTTGCTGGGGAGCTGGGGACGGAAAGACAAGTATAAGGAGGAGCTCCATATTTTTTTTCTTTGATCGATATAAGGAGGAGCTCCATATTGTTGTTGGAAAAATAACAATCAGTATTGTGAGGATAACATTGTCATTAGAGCTTTATTAAGTTCCAGCGCGAGCATCAGTGATTTCCATCAGCAGCATCGAGCATGAATAATAAGCATCAACATAGTCATCAAAAGATATTGTCGATTGACCCGTGATCTAGAGAGAGAAGCTCCCCCTTTTTTCTAGATTTTAAAATTTGAATATACAGTAACATTACAAGTTATAATTCTAGAAGGTTTGCAACCACTTTTCCAACAAGCCCGCCAAATCCGATGAACACTAAGATTATTGTTTTTCAGATTGAATTGTTTCTCTGAGACATAGGAACACGTATCCAGCAAGGCCATTCAGACAAGACCCTTGGCAAGCACTATCTCAATGGTGACCTTTGGTTAAATTTTCCTGTCTCAATGGATGGAAATGTTAAGTTATTGAATTTCCTCAAAACTTGTTTGGCTGGAAGATTCAATCCTTGTAATGGACAACAGATCTAACCGTTGATTGGGCTGTAAAGGTATGTAATTTAATGTAAGACATAAGAATGCTTATGGAAGGTAATCACTGCAGGGGCGAAGTTATTCTTAGTGCTGGAACGATGAACTTTTACCACAGCCTGTACTGGGTTGGAGAAGAAGAATGTTTTGGTCATTATGGCAGATAGAGTTCTTCAAAGTGATGAAATTATGCAGATTTCACATTGACATATCTGTCAATAGTTAAATGGTAACCAGGAACAGAGACAGATCAAACTTTGTGCTAGTCGAAGATGGATTGTTGTGCAATATGGTAGGGATTTCACATGGACTTATCCTAACCCATGTGAAATCCTAGCTTTGGTTAAGTTAAGATTTGAGATATGAACCCTGCTTCAGAACTATGGTTTTATTTTTATTGTAGGTTAGTGGAAATCCTAATTTTGGTTTAAGTTAAGATTTGAGATAAGACCAGATGCAGGAGGGCAGGGTCATAGTTTTTCCTTTTTCCGATTTCTGCTTGTTTCCTTTAGATTGATTGGGCTGAATTTGTAGTTGTTTCTTGTACCATACTTCTGACAGTTGTCACATCTTGGTGAAATTTTAATATAAATATTTAAAAAAGAACTAGCATCACATCCACTAGATACAAGGGAGGATAGATGACTCTTACCAAAATAAAACTTTTCCTTGCACAGGATAAGCACTCAATACCTCCAGCATCCAACAGAACGAATGTATGGAAAGAGACAATGCATCCACAATGAATTTGCTGCATAAGGAAAACAAATCCTATCAAGACTCAAAGAAATTCTTGCAACAGGAGAAGCATGAAACACAAAGGTGTAGCATGACCATGTCCAGTATAAGGATTAAAAAAAGTTCCAACAGTGTTGGAACTTCATAACAGCAACAAGTAATGAAAAAGAAAATGTGTTACTCACCTTTCCACAAGACTCACAAGATCTCCATCCAGAAGTTTTGAGGTGAAAAGTCTCACAAAACTTGCCATCATCATAAGCAGAACTACGCGAACATTAATATACATTAACTCCAATCAAAATTATAAAAAATTGAGATGTCCAATGGACTATCACTAGCATAAGGTAATGTACAACATATACCATTGACCAAAAGATCTATTGATATCATAAAATAATCAATTAGGATATTCAGCCAGGTACTCAACAGTTAAGGCATGCCTTCTTTTTGGCTTGTATTTTCTGAGCATGTTGTCGACACTTGATAAACATTGATTTATGGTCAGAAAAAGGAGATAAAAGAATAAACTGACAAACTGTTGTTGTGTACCCAAAAGAATATCTTACAGCTAATTTTCACAAGATCAATTTCAAGCTCAAATGAGGTCCAAACATGACCATAATGGAGCCAATAAAAGCGAGAGAATTGAATTCTGAATTTCAACTTAATTCTACTTAGCAACTTTTCTACTAGAAGTAGTTTTTCAAACTTTCTTTCTTTCCACATATGAACTGAACATTTAAGTAGGTTATAAGTTTAACCAAATCTCTATTTAACTGCTCACCTAAAATGGTCATCATAGTAGGACCATCTTTTCATGACTCAAGTCCCATACTTATGAAGCACATATGTGAAAACAACATAAAAGAAAAGATAAATGGCCAGTTCTTCAGGGGAATAAGTCCTTTGACTACTTTATCTATGGTTACCTCTCCTTTTTTAGAAGGTAATGATTGTATTAAGATAAACTAAGAAAGTGCTAAAAAAGTGTGTACATCCGTAGCCAAACCACGATTCAGACTGCATCCCTAACCTATTCCTATAGGGCATCTATAAGATCTAACATTGAAAGTAACAAGAAACAAAATTTTACTGTTCCGTATTTTCAAGTAATCTACCTTAATATGTCAATAGTGACCCAAAGGAATAAGACTCAATGATTAGTTATTTTAGTAATAATGGTCTATGGACCACCTTGCGTGCATTTCAACTAATTTATTGGGTACCTGCTACCTCTTAGCAACATAGGTATGGGGTAATTCTACACCAAGGTTTATATAAATTGTAGGACATCACCGAGCATTTATTGCCTTTGCTGGGATTTGAACTAAGGTTTGTCATGGTTCATTCTATATTCATTGACCACTAGGTCACACCCTTAAGTGCGACTTGATGCTAGTCATAGTATAACAACTAGCATAAAGGTATCATTACTATGAAACCTAATGTTTTCTCCTGGTAAGCACATTCTTTGCCAGGTTACATATGGTCACAGATAGTTTGATACCTAAATAGCACAGTACAGCAAATGATATAAATAAAATCCTTGATATGTCTCTTTATTAAACAAAGTTGAGCTCATTTCTCTTCAGTGGATTTAGCACAGAACTGAGATAACAGGAAAACATGTTTCCTAATCCCAACACGGTGATTTTAGTTAGGACAAAGTTCGGACCAAAATCATGGGGTCATATTTTTTTATAAATTAAATAAATTGATTGATGTAAAACAAACTCATGGAATGATGATGGCCCTAAAAAATAAATTCCCATTAAATTTATTTATTTTCTGAATTTTTTACTGAGAGAACAAAATTTTAGCACCCCCAGAAAAGATTATTACTTTCTGCCTAGAGGAGGTAAACTAATTTATTTGCTGACGAGCATTCGTCAGGTACTAGACATATTTCAAAGCAAAAAGGGATTGTAATTTGCAGTATCTCTATGTGGTTCCACATTCTGCAACTATTTATAAAACACAGAAACAGTTACTACATCTCCGATTTCGCTTAACCATAAAGTTGATCAAGAATTTTGGTCAAAAATAACTTATCAAAATATTTTGTTTTATAACTTATCATAATTTTGGTCATCAACAACTTATCAAAAAAAATGGGTCAAAACTAGGCTGGCGGAATGTGAAATGAAGCAATCAAAAATGGTATAAAGAGGGTACCATATAAAAATAACAACTTTTACGTGGATAGTTTTCCATCTAAAATGTTTCGGCGTAAGAAAAGGAAAAGGTCTTGAAATTGTAATGCATATCTCCTCAGTCTATTAAGTATTAACCCAAGCAGAAGCATAAGCACTCCTTCGTCTGCATCCACATAATTGTATCACATGAAACATAATAAAGACATCATAGACCTAAAGCAGTGCAGACCAAGTAACATTAGCTAAATTAAGCTAAACTTCAAATCTAAAGTAGGCCTTACGATATAATACTCGGAAACCAGAAGAAAAAAATCAAATCTTTGTAAATAATAACCAAAGATATATTTTTTTTACCATATCATTTCCATTTAGACTTGTCAATTCAGTTACTCAATAATTTGTCTTTTGAAATAATGCTACAAAAAAAAAAAGCGTCAAAAAATTCAAAATTCAAAATTCGAAAAAGGTTAAAGAAAGGAGAAAAGCTTACGCGCAACGATCACAAAGGTCAGCGAACTCGCCGGTGCGACGGCGCCAACCTTTCTTCGGCCGTTCAACAAATTGATTGCAGTTGGTGTTGAAGCAAACCTTCGTGGCCGACGACGGCGCAGCGGACGACGACATCGGAGTTCACCAAACTCACGAAAAAATCACTACATATAAAACCTAAACTTATAAATCCCCCCAAAAAGAACGTATACACAAACAAGCGTGCGAAAAAAGAAAAAGGAAAGTAAAAGTTTTTCGTCAACAGTAAAAAGTATGATTAGAGGAGAAAATTCACATTAAAGATGGACAAAGAAGGTATGGTGAAAGTTGAAACCCTAGAGGGAGGGAGCGGAGGAATTTTAGAGAGAGAAATTGAAGTGATGGAGTGATAGAGAGATTATAGCCATTAGAGAGAGCGAAAGGGGGTTTAATTTGCAGACTGAAAGATTTTAGAGAGGAAAGAGGAAAGAGTAAGCAGTGAAGTGGCATTGGATTTTATATACGTATATATCTCCCTTATGCACTGTGTGTATGTGTGTGTATTTGGCGTTTGTGCTTTTACTCTAAATTCGTAACTCGTTGTTGTCGTCCTTTTCATTGGAAAAAAATTCCACGTTATCTGAAGAAATGAAATTACCATTTTATCCTTTTCACCTGAGCTCTGAGATATTTTGAGCCTAAGTGCAGGGGCATTTTGGAAAATGTATTTCAATGCTTGGGATAGTTATAGGTCAAAGTAGTACTACTACCATTTTGACTAATAATATGATTCTTTGTACATTTACTTAATATACTTTTACAATATTATTAACTTTCCGTTTCTAAACAAGTGAGTTTTGTTTTAAACTGAAAAGAAAATTAATGTTGGAATCCACTGGAATTAAATGTACGGATTCTCACACTATAAACCTCTGTCATTGTTTCTTATTTAGATAAAGGAAGTAATAAACTAGTTTTTGCTAAATGTTACAATCATGTTAATTACTTGGGTCTTGGGCAACTATATGTTATTTCTAAAAAAATAATATTGGACAATTTACAAAGCTTATTAAGATAAATATCTGACTACAAATTAGCTTTGGAATAAAACTCCAAATGCTCGAACATTTTTGTAAAGTCACTTGTGTGAAGAAAATCAATGTATGTTAGTTGACTTGTGAGTTAAGTGACTTAACGTACACGGGAGCGTTGGAAAAAACATGCAGTTCTAACACGTACTCTCATTTCGTCCAAAAATATGACCAGTTCGAATTAAAAAGTAACTCTTGTAATCTTTGGAATAAAATAGATATTGATTTTTTTTTTTTAAAGTAGATTAAAATGTTAAGAACTACATCAATTTTATTATAAAAGTAATATTTTACATATAATTGTTCCTATGTGAGATGACGGAGCGTATATATAGAGAGAGATATTATGGATTCTAATGCTTGAGATAGAATATTAGTTTTGTATGCTTTAATTATTTTACTTTCATATTTTTTAAATTGTATCAATTACCATCACACAATATTCTGAAAAACGTCTCTGATGACCGGATTCCATCGAGTAACCATGATCTTAACTATAGTATATAAATTATCAATCACCCATAAAGTAGTAACGATATATTGAAAAAGATACTTTGGACTTTCTCTAGCCAAGTGATGAAATAGCTGAAAAGTTGGAGTAATAATTTTGGAATCCAAGTTCGAATTCCAGCAAAAGAACACTAATAGATAAATTCTTCTTATTTGCCAATTACAAAAATAGAATATTCTCTATGGTCAAAGAATATATGAGATGTTGTATTAATGTTAAAAATTATTATTATTATTATTATTATTATTATTATTATTATTATTATTAAATTAAATAATTCAAATTTATCCTTGAACTTTAGAAAATAGTGGGTCATGCCCTCTCTTAAAATTTTGGTTATAATGACCTCGTCGTTATAACCTGCGTCCACTTTTTAATTGTTGGCAATATATTTCTTTCATGCTCGATTATATTTTATGTTAGAACATTTCAATGAATGTTATTCCGATTTAAATGGTCTTATTATGAGTCCCATGCCAGGAAGTATTGTTCATTTTTTCGTTCCAAATTCAAAGATATAACTGATACAATTAATTGGTTTGTGCGCCTCTTAAACATATCATATATGCCCTTTATTTTCAGCAAAGTTCTACCTGAGATATTTTAGCTAGNGTGGCCTTTTTTATTAATAAAAAAATTATTTTTATTTGAAATCTATTTTCTAACTTTTTTTAGATGCAAAGTTATTATTTGATTTTTTTATAATCAATTTCTCCTAATAAGTCTTTTTCAATTGACAATATAGCTAGTTCATCTTTGAGACATTGTTGATCTTAGGTAAGGTTTTATGAATTTTAATTTTGAAACACTTTTTTTCGCTGAAGCAATGGTAATAGGAGTTATTAACATTATTCTATAAGTAATATAGGCATTTGAAAAATAATCAAACCTTTTTATTTGATTGAGTATATCAATTAAATTATTATCTTCTAATTGTACTATTTTTCTTAATATTTTTGATTCAGAAAATAAATCTAAACTATCAATATCGGGTTGATTATTATGATTTAAGGAGCATTCAAGAAGAAGGCAATATTTTTTTAATTTTCCATCAACTAGTGATCTCAGTTTTTACCGCTAAATATAAAACAAAAAATATTTTCATATGCATCTAATCACTACTAGAAAAATACAAATTTTCCAGGGAAACTTCCCATGGATATATTATCAGTGGAAGTTCCCACTGCAATTTAGAAAATCTCAGTGGAAAATGGAAGAGTTTTCTTTTACCTTTTTCTTTAAAAGGTTTCCACAGACTATAGGTGGGAATTATCTGGCGTAAAAAAACGTGTTATTTGTTTTCCATCGAATTAGTGAGAAATACATTTAAAAAATTACTATATAAAATTATTAAATTTTTCCAAGTGAAACGGTGGGAATCTAATGATAAAAAATTATTTTAATGTTCTCACAGATGCAGTGGGAAATGAAAGAGTTTTCTTTTACCTTTTTTTTAAAACGTTCCCACTGACTATAAGTGGGAATTATTTGGCGCAAAAAAGTGTGCAATTTGTTTCTCACCGAATCAGTGGAAAATAAATTAGAAAAATTACTATATAAAATTATTAAACTCTTTCTAGTGAAACAGTGGGAATCTAAAGATAAAAAAATATTTTAATGTTCCAACAGATGTAGTGGGAAATTCAAAATTTTGAAATTTGAATTTTCATCCAAAACACCCGCGAGGTTAAAAAATTTCACAAAAAAAATGAATTTAATAAAACAATTCCCAATGAATCAGTGAGAATGTCTTTCCTAAAGATAAAAAAATATTTTAATGTTCCCACAGATGTAGTGGGAAATTCAAAATTTTGAATTTTGAATTTTCGTCGAAAACACCCGCGAGGTTAAAAACATCTCACAAAAAATGAATTTAATAAGGCAATTCCCAGTGAATCAGTGGGAATGTCTTTCCTATTATAGTACATCCCTTCTTCTTTCTTTTCATTTTCACTCTCATTCTATCTCATTCTCTTCTTTGCAAATCCTCCATTCTTATCCAAAGAGCTTTCACTCATGTAAAATCAAAGGTAATATCATATCACTCATGTAAAATCAAAGGTTAGGGGATTATTATTAGATTTTGAATTCGATTTAGCTTTATAAAGCCTGAAAGCTTTTCCTTTGATATAATAGTTGTAACACTTTTGCATAATACTTTCAAACAATCGTTGGAGGAGTTCATTGAAAGCCAACCAACCGATCCAACCATCCCAGGAGAGTTATATGGACTTGCGGAATTTCAAACAATCGTTGGAGGAGTTTATTCAATTGGATAAGATTGAATGTTGAATTTTTTATTTGAGTGTTTAGTTGCATTATTGGTTTATTGTATTTTCTCTTTTGGTTGAATGTTTATGAAATGGATCAGATTCAATGCTTAATTTTGTATGTGAATATTTAATTGTATTTAGGCTTCTTGTTGGTGGTTGTATTTTTTATTTGGTAGGTGATGGAATATAAAAAGCAACACAATGCACAAAAAATTTTTCCAGACTTCCCACTGAATCTGTGGGAAAGTTCGTCCTTTTAGTTACAGATCTTACATGATTCCCACTGATATCGGTGAAAAAGTTCATATATTTTTTTTATTACATGCATTTTTTCCACCACTTCCCTTGCTAATATATTAAAATAATAAAAATTACTAATAATACTTCTCACTGATTGTTGGTAGGAAACTTCATTATTTTTTCTATTAAATCTACGCTAGGAAAACCGTGGGAAACTTCCCACTACTTATCTGGGAAGTTTTTTCCGACCATGCCTTTTTCCGGGTGATCCGTTTTAGTGGGAATGCAGTGTGAAAACCCAGTTTTCTCACTAATTTTCCACTGATTTTGCCGTGGGAAAACCATGTGTTTCTAGTAGTGAATTGTTCAAATCTATTTTAAAGTGAAAAAATAACCTTGTCTACTACTCACTCCGGTCCAGAATAAGTTTTTTTTTTACTTTTATTTTGATCCAAAATAAGTGTCCTTTTATATAACCGAGAAGGAATTAACTTTATTTTTCCAAAATTTGCCCTTATTTACATATATCAATGTATCAAGTTAACAACATATAAATTTTAATTAAGGATAATTCAGTCAAAATACATTTTTGTTCTAGGAGTCGGTATTTTCTTAAGGGGCACATCAAAGGTTAAAAAGTCACGAGGGAGTATGTATAAAAAGTAATTAACTCTAAATGACACTTCGAGAGATTTTGAGATTTCACTATTAACATTCTCCTCAAATTATTTCTTCCTATATATTACACGTTTTTTATGAAATTCGGATTCGATATTAATTTCAAATGTAATTTTCTTGGTAGAAATCAAAGCAGTTGCAAATTCTTCATCTATCAAACCTTTTCACTTCACATAACTTTTAAAAAAAAAATTATATATAGCCTACTAGGTGTAAAAAAAAAAATGAGGCCTAAAGCAGTTGCTTTACCTGCTTTATGGACGGGCCGCCCCTGCTAGTAATATAAAGTATATTCATATATAACATTACTATTCATCATGTATTCAATAATTATACAACACAATGTATTGTTAAAGTTAATATATTATAAGTATAACAATTAGAGTTAAAAGCAGTTAATGAGAGCAACTAATGCATTAATTGAGGGAGAGAAAGTTGTGGCAATGATTGTTTCAGCATTATAGGGTTGTGTTAGAAATATAGTTAATTAGCTGCCATATTTGTTAATTACTTCTTCCGTTCACTTTTGCTCGGCACGTTTTGACTTTTCACGCCCCTTAAGAAATAATAAATGAAGTGCATATTTTACCATGATACCCATATTAATTGATACATATTTTATTGGATTTGAAAAAATGATTTGAAATGAGTAATAAATATTGTGGGTATGACAAGAATATTTTTTTTGTCTTTTCTTGATATGCATAAAGTGACAAGTAAAAATGAAAATCTATTTTTAGTATATATGCCAAGTAAAAGTGAACGGAGGGAGTACTTATTAGTGCTAGGACTCTGTAAAATTTTCTTAAATATTGGCTAAATATGTTTTTTCCCGTACACATTACTCTGTCCAGATACTTTACTTTTTGGGATTTTACTGAGTTGTTGTTGTTGTTGTTGCTATATATTGTTAGTTGTTTGTATTATGAGTTGATGCGTTTGTACAGAGACTTGTTCATGCCCATTGCCCCATTCCATAAGGACAAAACCTTTGATTTGTTCCCACATAGCTTTATAGTGTGAATGATTAATTTCTTCTCTATACTTATCCGGTTATCATTGATAAATTTTATCCTTTTGTCTTTCACTATTATTTATTAGTCTGCTGGGTAAAAGGTGAAATTCGATCATACTTCTGGACCTTGAATTTACTATTAGACCCTTTGTCATTAAACCAGTAATTCGGGCGTGGTTCTATATGTCAAGTCAATTCTCTTAGCTTTCTTTTTCCTTCGAAAGTCAAAAGTATTTAAGATGTGATTTGTCTAATTCTCAATGTATTCAGGTATTTTGGAAGAAACAAATGAGTGAATATCAAGTCCACATAGGGTGGAGTACATTGATGGAGTTGTAGTGTCTGTAATCGAACTTTACCTAGAAACTAGGACAAGCTTGATATACAAGCAAAAACTTGCATAACAAAATACTAGAAAATCTACTATCTGTAACTACAAGAGTATTTCTTTGCATATATGCAACAAATAAGTTATATGTAGTTCTGAATTCTATGTACGTAAATGCAGCGCTAGCTATTCCATTTCCTGTCTTTAATTTGATTTCAGCTGAGGCTGTCTTTTCAAGTTACATAATTTTCTTTAATTAGCAAAATGTCACTTTGGTTCCCACCCAACCCCGCCATATTAAACCTGAAATCAACCCGCCCATTTAGAATATGAATAAATATGGGTCAACCCAGAAGATGACACTCATGACCAGAGATGTGTTGCAACACTAAAACAAAGAAGACAAGAACCAACGTTTCAGAAGACGAAGGATCAATTTTCATGAATGGATGAAAATGACATATAAAGCGAACAAGCCAACACACTAGCAAACCACAGATCATTAAACTATTTCTGCTCAGTTATAATCGAGCATAGCTTCCTCAGTTCTCCGCAAGCTTAAACAAAATTGACTATTGATCAGAATCTCGATTAAGCATTCTTTAGAGGTTCATCGAAGTAAAATCTGTTCTGCAACCCAAGATATTAGAGTTTCTTGAACTATATATTACAAGGCAAAACCAAGATAAATCTGTCAGGTAGTTGCAGTTGCTTCTCCCTCGATTTTTTTCAGCGTACAAGAAGAATAAAGAAAGGAGGGNGGGGGGGGGGGGGGGTGTATATGCTATCAATTCACAAACGATATCATTTCACAACCAGCGGCAGAGTGAAATAATTAGATTCATACAGTCAAAAATAGTCTACAATGATTTGTCGTCTACAGTCGGATATGCCGGAGTCACAAGAATAAAATGGCAACATTCCCAACTCCACCTTGGGAAAATCTGTACACAATTAGCACTGAACTCAGTTCTTGTAGGGGAGAGGGGGGATGGCCTGTTGTATAGGTGAAGATCAGTCCACTTGTAAGCTCCAAAAGCGCTCAAGACAAAGTTCAGAAGCAACACAGCCCCACACCCCAAAAAAGAAGAAAAAAATAGATTCATATGCTTCCTTCATTTAACCCCTCTTTCGCCATCATTCTATACAGAAACCACCAGCTAGAACTAATTTCTCTTTCGGTGAATAAATTGAACCAGACAAAAATTAACAGACAGGTGAAAATACTGTAGCCAACCCTTGATCTACTTCAATATGGAGCTTGTCATAGGCCATCAATGTCCTCTGCTCAGACTTGTAAGTTCCTCTACCTCTGGCAAGGACCTCACCGTCTACATCAATAATCCCTTCCTTGTTTGAGTCATCTGATCGTGGACCAGGCTCTAAAACAAAAGCCTTTACCTGTGGTTGTTTTAAATCAATAAGAAGCCTTGGGTTAAATCCTAATTAATGCACAAACTTCTCTCTAATTTCAAAATAGTTGACTTATCAAAAAAGAACTTATCTCTTATTTTAGCACATCAAACGCGAATATGCATGGGTTAAGATTGGGGGTTGGGGTTATTGTATTGCTGATTATTCAGGCAAAGGGTGTCATTATTTAATTCAGCTGCTACAAAACCCAACCTATTTGGTCAAGGAATTACACTACATTCTGATTGCACCGCTAGACAAACATCAGAATTTGAAACGGTAGAAATGTGTAACCATCTCATCAGAATTTTAAATGCCCGCTCGCGTACATGTTTGATTCTTTTTTATGGGCCAAGCACATAAAAATTCTTTTTTGATAATGGGTGGCAATGATACTCAAAACCAAGACCTCTACCTGCTCTGGTACTATGTTGAAGTGTGTATCATCATTTCGTCTAAAAGCTTAAGCTGATTAAATAGCACACTTTTATTTACTTAATTATGTCTTTTATAAAACTTTCAGAGAAAAATGAACAAAAAGAATATAGGTCTTATTATTTTAATCTCTGTTTTAAAAGGCGTTTCCGGGGCGAGCCCCGGGGCGAGGCGTACCAAAAACGCCCTGGGGCGATGGTGTGGGGCGAAAGTCTCAAGAGGCGTACGCCCGGGCGTTCGGGGCGTACGCCCCGGGCGTTCGGGGCGCGTTTTTTTTAGTAAGGAGTAAGCCCAAGAGACTTTTTCAAATTAAAACAAAATTTGTTGAATTAGTCTTTCATATAATACTCAAATTCTCAAAAGTCAGTTTGGTAATTACTCAAAAGGTTTAAAAAGGAACTCAAAAGTATTAAATTTAAAAGTAAAGACCTTTTTTATTGATTTAAGCCCTAATATTCATGGTTTTTCCAATTTTTTATCTTGTCCTCTAGTCTGCTAATATCTCCCAAAAGCAACGAATATTTAATTTTTTTTACAAATACAAAGAGAACTACATTCTTCTTCGTAGCAGCAAATTCAAAGTTCAAATTGCAGGTTAATCATCCTTTTTGTTCCTCCATATAGAAAACTTTATTCTTTGACTCAAATTACTTGTACTTGTAAGTAACGTATAATAGATTGTTTTGATTAATTTTTTGTGGGGATGGAGCACACACATATATAGTTTTCTTCAATATTTATACAATTTTACATGTTTATAAATATTTACTGTCATTATATTATTTTATAAAATATTAAAAACTAAATATCTATGGGGCTTACGCCCCGCTGAGGCATATGTAAAACGCCTCACTTTACGCCCACGCCTTTTAAAACACTGATTTTAATATGCGACAATAAAATGAATTGTAAGAGTTGTTCCAAAATATAAAAAAGAAAAGGAAGAAAAAATAAACGCGACAAGAACTTGCATAATAGAGGTAACTTAGAGAGCTAAGATGATGAATCTAACCTTCAAGTACAAGACATGCGGTGATCTAACATGACCTCCTTTATTTAACTCACTCATCAACGTCAGCAAGGATAACTTTGAGCAATCTTTCATCACAACTAAGTCCAAGTAACCATCTGAAAACTGCACATGAGCCCAAAAAGAAAAAAGGAAGTTCAAGATATGCCAAAACATGCAGTGGGAAAGTCGCAATTTAAGTATCCACAGCTTAGTGCTTCTAAAGAAAGAACAGAGGAAATGTAGTAGCTTGATATATGCATCTGCAAGTGCAGGGCCTTTTATAGGAAAGGGATTAGACATGTTCCTTCAGCAATGGCACTATAATGAAACCATTATTGCAGAATATTCTACTCATAAAATGCAGACTTATGTTTAGGAGAAAGTAAAAGAAGAAAACTACTATGTCAAGTTACTACTTGCAAGAGTCCTAGTCTAAGCAGAGGGTCTTCACCTCTAGAACATCATAAAATCATTTAATCAGTAAAGTCAGGCCCACATCGTGACCCGTATTGTAGGAAGCCTACTTTTAGCCTACAGAAAGAAACTCATCTTTTCCGACTAAGTCAAAATATTTATCTTTGACTCTATATTCAAAATGTGGAAAGCTAATTGATTGACAAAAAATTTTGCTTACTTATTACACCAAAAAAAAACTATTAGTAGTTATGTTATGTCGCACTGGCTTAGTGCAAGCATTTATAAAATCTTTATTACTTACCAAAAAAAAACTAGTACAGTGAAGATGCCCCAAGAATTACTTTAAATCTGGAGTTACCTTTGAAAAGTTTGGCATGAAAGATGAAGACACACAGTTAAAAGTCATCAATTTTAAAGGTAACTCCTGATTTAAAGTAATTCAAAATAAGCCCTAGAAGTTGTGGATGACACATAAAAAAAAATATCTGATCCAAATTCAAACTACATATTACAGAAGCCATTCTATCTGGTATATTTTAAAAGTAGCACTGAGAGGAATCAGATCACAAGTTCAATGGAGGCAACATTCACAATTATGTCCAAAGAAACTCAACCAACCTTGGCATCGGGTGCTGCGAGAACATCTTCACCTCCCCAAGGAACATTATGAAGCCAGATTGAGACGAAAGGCCCCTCAATCTTGCGGTTGAAACCCTTCATGTCAAAAGCCGGACCACAATAGCAATTTTGCTGAACCCGATTCGAGTTAAGCTCATTAATTTCACCTTCAAGTTCAAGTGGTTCTCCAAAATTTTCATACCCTGGTGCAGCCAAAAATTTTATACAGCCAGTATACCTTCTAAGACGAAATATCCGCTGTATTGCCTGGAAAAACAGTATGAGACTAGCAATTAAAAAGCAAACTGTGATGCTTTAATGGCTACAAGAACCACTAAGCACGTAATCAACTGAAGAGGCATTCTACTTTTTCTTTTCTTTTTTTCCTCATAGGAAAAGAGAGAGATGCAAGGGGGATGGAATTGGTGTCCATGAAGAACAATCCAGGTACACAAAAAGCTGACCAAATTTCTGGGTCAGTGAATCTCAAATATCATAATGAAACCAAACTTTCCAAGGAAAGAGAAGGAGTAAGGAGTAACAAGAGAGAGAGAGAGAGAGAGAGAGAGAGAGAGAGAGAGAGAGAGAGGGAGGGAGGGAGAGAAACCAAGGAATGATGTTGTATAGCAAGCCAGAGAATTTGTAAATAAATCCAATGATCCAGAATTTTAACTTCTGATACCGAAATTTAAGAAAAATATATATTAGAGGAAACAGATGCAAAACATACATAAAAATCCATTCGAGCACTACCCATCCATCTATACTTCTCGGACTCTATATCTATATCAGCTACAAGACCTGAAAAACAAAGAGTCCTGTTAGATAGTTTAATCATATATCAATTTGCAAAGAACTTAAGCAGATAAGAAACAAAAACAGTGTCAAAACCAGAAGAGCCAATGTCAAATATACATACCCCAGGCAAGCATTAGCACACTGAAAAACCTTTTCTGCCCCTGTGAAACTGTAGCTACATCTAGTGATCTTGTATGCCCTGCCATTGATCAAACATACATAGAGAATTAAAGAGCTTCTTTGATTCAACAGAAAAAGAAATGTAATTGAAACATCAGTTCGGGAATCACCATTTTAGTTTAAAAGGATAGCAATTATTTACCTCTAATAATAGCAAGAGTTGCGTTAAATGCAGTACAAGATTCACCGACAGAATCTAGAAGAGATTTTGCCATCCCATTTGAAGTGCCTGCATTTGCATACACAAAAATGCAACTATAAGACAGTGGATGAAAGCAAACAACATTGGTTCCATGTGCTAAAGTTTTAGTCAAAAGCTACTAAAAAGGCTATGCACATTATATTGTAAAACTTTAATGAACAGCCGACGAGCGAAGCAGTAAGTCCCATAAACAAAAATCCTTGACCATCAAGTGGATCTCAGGTTTTTACACATTTAAAGCCAAAATGAAATTCAAAGAGCTGAAAACGAATCTACCAAGATTAGAAATTATGTGGAATATTTGCGATCAGAGAAAGATTCTGGTGAAGGGAATTCATAAGGATGTCCAAATCTCTCTCTTGAACGTAAATGCAAATTTCATTTCCTTGCGCGCGAGGGGAGGGGCGGGGTGTGTTGTTTAGAATATTAGGGGTAAGAAGTTTCTAACCTGATCCAACTGCCTCTACCAAATACAGTGTTATCGAAACAACAAGATAGGTCTTAATCAGTTAACTACTAAGAATGAAAAGGTTAAAGCTGAAAATTGTTAGCATATATCTGCAGCTATTAATCTGGTTTGTTGGCAGTTGAAGCATTTTATTTGCTGGAATAAGTTGTTAAGTGTTATATACATCCTAAGGTGTCCTTGAAGTGCACACATTTCTGTTAATAATTTGTTAGTTAGGGCTCCCTTCTCTTCCCCAAGTAGGCTTCTCTTAGTAAAGGACAGCCCAGTGCACGAAGCATCCCGCGTTCACGCAAGGTCCGGGCAAGGGCCGCAGCGCAAGGGGTGTGATGTAGGCAGTATACCTTTATGCAAGCATCAATGGCTGATTCCATGGCTCGAGCCCGTGACTTATAGGTCACACGGAATCACATTACACATACCCCAAGAAGAAGAATCCAAAATGACATGACACAGTTTGTCTTTGCTGATGTGTGTCACCGCACGTCTATTCTAGATATGTAGGTCATAGAAATGTGTGTCAGCACCATGTGCTCCTGACGACCTTTCAGAAGATAGAGTGAAGAGTTAATCTGGTAGTTAAGCATACTATAGGTTTTTTTCTTTTTGAGTAATGGTATATAGAAGTTTAGCATACTACAGGTATAACCATGTAAAAACAAAAAGCTTAATGCGACAGACCATAATCATGTATATCAAGCTCCACAATAAAAGCTATTCAAAATATACAAACACCAGCAAGAGAAGGAAACAGACCTGCAGGTATTACTCCAAGAGGCATCTTTATTGCAGAACTCCAATCCTCCCTTTCAAGTAGTCCATTCACTACCTACTAAAAATCGAAAATCAAGAACGTAAGAACATGATGAGCACTTGGATGATTATCATCATTTACCTCAGAAACGAATAGCCAAAAATTTTAAAAGACAGCCCTCAGGGCACGAGCCTCTTAGAACGAAGGATAACTGGAGAACAGAGATGCGTGTAATCTTGTTGTGGATTCCATCAAAATCACAGTGGAGCAACTCTGAAGTTGTTCCAGGACTCACCTCTAAGACATTTCATCTACTTCAGTGCAATGTGTCTTAGAGACTCAACATAACTCTTTGACTTTCTTTTATTTTCTCTCTTTTCTTTTTTTGGGGAAGGGGGGTAAGTGTACAAAGCATCTGTGCTTCTCTTTTTATATGCAGTTCCGATGTTTCTATGTATACATATGAAGCATAAGAACAATATAGTTATATATAAGCTCTTTAATGTTTAGAAATAAGTACCATAAATTGATCTTTGATTGTTTTACATTTAATCATGATATTTATGAGTTTATTTATTGGCATTAGCAATTCCTTTCAGTAAGTTAACAAATAATTACCCTGAAGATCTTAATGCACTCTCATAATGCAGCTGAGTAGAAGTCTTAGGAAGAACTGACTGGTTAAGTAGTAAAATTTACATCTCAGTTTTTCCACTGTGGATTCATCTTTGACATCTTTTAAATCAGAATTTTATATAAACTAAAATATCTTGAGCCTTACAACAGGAAAGGATAACCTTCCATTCAATAAACAAGCTAGGTATTCCATAATCAAGTACTATATGTCAAAAGAAGAGTATACTGCAAAATTGTTTGAGCCGGACTGATGGACAATCACACAACAATAGGCCAGACAAAGATAACAAAAGAATAAAAAACATGACCAACCTACCTCAACCAAAATTCCATCCCCACTGACACAAAGAACTCCGTCGTAGCTCAAAAGATCCAATGAATGAACGACTTCCTTTGCATGTAACCGATATTTAGTTTCTGAGAGTGAAAGATTAAGAGTATAAGTCATGATTATAGACTCAAGTAAAATCATTGAACAAACACCAGCCACACGTGGATAAGAAGATTCAATATTTCAAACCTTGCAGTGTGTAGTGAATATTTGCATCATCAAGTAGGGGCTTTACATCATCAAGAAATATCTTTGATGCAGATCGCTTTCCTCCATATGGATTCAGAAGTACAAAAAGTCTCTTAGGACGACCTAAAATCCCATGATATCAAGTATTCTATATCACGTATAAACACCAAAATAAATAATAATAACAACAAATAGAAGAAGCACCCAAGGGTGTGGCCTAGTGGTCAATGAAGTGGGTTGAGAACCATGATGTCTCAAGTTCAAATCCTAGTGGATGCGAAAAACACTAGGTGATTTCTTTCCATCTGTCCAAGACTTGGTGGACAGAGTTACCCGGCACCTGTGGTAGTGGGAGATAGCAGGTAACCCGTGGAATTAGCTGAGATGCAAGCAAGCTTTCCGGACACCAAGGTTATAAAAAAAAGAATTAATAATAATAACAACCAGAATAATGATGATAATAACAATACCCTTAACTATCTGTAGTTAACAGAACAGAATATCATTTTAAGCAAGACGAAAAGCAAAGCATGCCAGAACGCAGAAGCGCCAACTTAACTAAAGAGCCAGCTTCTTAGGTTTAAGGAAAAGCAAGCTAGAAGCACTCCTTTTTTATTTTTTAAACGGAAAAGGGCCAGAACTGCCCCTGAAGTATTGGAATTGGTACAAAATTGCCCTCCATCCACCTATTTGAATAAAAATGCCCCTACCGTTGTTTTTTTGGCTCAACATTACCCTTATTACTAACAGAAAATTCATTTAAAAAGAAAATTTAAATAATATCCACGTGTCACCGTCCCATTGGTCTAACATAGACCCCAACCCATAACCCGCCCAGATATTGACCCGCCCCAATTTTAAAACATAACTCTCTCTCTCTTCGCTATTTCATTTTAGTGAGCATTTACTTACGAGTGTATGTCTACTATTATTCATGAGGCAAACTCAAAATTGAGTTCTCTATTAGAATTATTTTTATGGAAGATGGAAGGAATTGTCATATTCTTCTTAATGCAAAAAGTTTAGATTCTTTTTGTTTATGCAATGAGTATTATTTATAATATAATTTTCTTTATTTGAAATTTGTGGGGAGGTTTCTTCACTATTTTTTGTCATTCCTCCGTGAAAATTTGAGGATTTGTTTTTTCAATTTTTTTGTTTATGTGATGTGTATTTCTATTTTTTATTTATTTCACTATTTATTCAATTAATATGTAAGCTTTTCTACTCCGTGTAACGGGTATTGTGCAATTGTCACATTTCATACACGCTGGGTTCATATGATGTACTAATAATAGTTAACAATTTTTTTAGATAATTTCTTAAGTATTTATTTTCTTATTTTGATTGTTATCATGGATTCAATTTTCTCGATTAGATTATTGTGTTAAGTCTAGTAAAAAAAGGATTTTCTACTCATAACATAATTTGCAAATGAGATAGGCTACTGTGTACGTTGCTATTTCCGACGGATCCGTCTTCCGCCCAAATAGCAACAGGGCGGATATATATATATATAGAGAGAGAGAGAGAGAGAGTTGTGTTTTAAAATCGGAGCGGGTCAATATTCGGACGGGTTAAGGGTGAGTTTAGTTATATTTTAGTTGAAGTTTAAGTTAGACCAATGGAACGGTGACACGTGGATATTAATTAAATATATTTTTTTCCCCAGAATTTTCTGTTAGTAATAAGGGTAATGTTGAGCCAAAAAAATAACGGTAGGGGCATTTTTATACCAATTTCGATACTTCAGGGCAGTTTTGGCCCTTTTCCTTTTTTTAAATTAGGTAAGCACTCATTTGCCTTAACTTTTCTTCTCTGTTACATACTACTACTATATGCTAGTAGGCAGTGTCATATTCATGTTCTATCACACATCAGATCAAGACTTAAGACAAAATGAATAGAAAAATCTTTAATTTGGGAAAAAGAACTTTGTAGCTGATTAACTTATTGAATTTCTGATGCTTAAGCATAATAAATCTTGCATTCTCTTCAGATGAACATTTTTTTCCCTCACATAAAGCCGCACCTGGATATAATTCCACCAAAACTCATTGTTACTCTGAATGAATAATCACGCATTATAAGACAAGGTGGGTTGCTCTGATATTAAGCATCCCCACTTCCAACCAAGAGGTTGTGAGTTCGAGTCACCCCAAGAGCAAGGTTGGAGTTCTTGGAGGTAAAGATGCCGAGTGTCTATTGGAAACAATCTCTCTAGGGTAAGGTCTGCGTACATACTACCCTCCCCAGACCCCACTAGTGGGATTATACCGGGTTGTTGTTGTTGTATTCGGAAACATGAATTAATAATTTCATATGGTTCCAAATAACATTTCAGTAACTTTATAAATTCTAATACCATAGTTTTAATAACACATAAACTACTGCATTCCTCAAAAGTTCTGTCGTCAGTTGTTACCGAGTGAATCGAGGACTGCGTGGAGTCTTTGTTTCCAAAGCCGAAGAGAATCCTCAGATAATGGCTCAAAAGTGAAAGTCTTCCTCAACGGAGCTCCGCCGTCACCACCGCAGCAAATTCCAGCTCCACTCTCAATGACAGCGTTGATTTTGATCCGAGAACCTTCGATGATGAACCCTAGGACATCTTTCTCAATTGATAAACACCGGTCAGGCCATCGGAGTTGTCCTCCGGCAGTCAGAGTCAACGGAACGGAAATTCCGTTTATCTGAACCCGGTTCGATAGTACGGGAGCTCCGGCGTCCTTCTGGTCCATCGTTTTCTCCTGCTAATTAAGGCTCGTCCACTTTAGCGCAGCGATTTATTTGTAAGGTGAAAAGCCGGTTCAGTGTAGAATGAAATAAGATGTAGATTTTGAGGAATTTAGCTTCGCATTGTAAATCGCGTAAATCTTCTACTCAGTGGGACCCGCAAGTTTACATGTGAACGGCAGATATTGCCGTAAAAGTCGCATAAGTTTTTGATTGACTTATTAATAGTAATACTAACTCCGTTCTAAATTTATTTCTTTTTTTGTCCGTTCCAAAAAAATAATTTATTTTTAAATTTAAAAATAATCCGGCTTAAACTTTCAAATTTAACATCAATGAGAAGGTTTTATAATCATACAAATATTCTGCAACCTATTTTAACTTGTTTAGAACCACATATTTCAAAATTTTCGTTCAAACAGTTTCACATAGATTATATTTTTGTATTACCACATGGAACGTGATAGCATTTTAGCTTTATCAGCATACTTTCCTCCAGATGTTAAACTGAAGAGAATTTCATTCAAGGCTCTTTCAAACTTGTACGCTAAAGTGAAAAGTTCCACTAACGCAAGTAATCGGTCGCTTCTCTCTTTATTTTCGTCTTTCGTTTTTTTCTAACACTTGAGATCTTATAATTTTAATTTGGTATGTTACTTCGTTACATGTTTGTTTTCTTTATTTTGCTTCGATACAATCCAACAATTTTTATGTTTCTTATTCATTATTTGTTGTTTCTTTTAATTTTTGAGTTTATACACAACAAAACTTTCAAAAATTAAGGAAAATTGATGGTGACGGATAAGATTATGTTTGAGTTCACTTAGTGACGTATGAATATAGGTCTTTGAATTGAGAAGAAAACCTATGTAACCTTCATACAAGAAAACTTAGTTGGTTATAAACTCTTAATTGATCATCTTATTTGGTGATTAATGTTATTTGCTCGAGGACGTTGGGCGCTAGGTTGGGGATCCTGAAGTTCAGTATATTTTAGCTTTTGTGAGGTAGAAGCATTGATGAAAAAATATATTACTTACTGACATAAGATATTTTAAAATTCTCCTGTTGCGTCACTATAATTTTTATCAAGTCCAAAAATTTAGGAGCATATATCTATACTATATTAAAAGCACTTAGCGAAATGTCGTTCGCCTTTTTTAACCTTCAAAATTAAAGTTTACACTAGACAAAATAGTCGTTCAATTATTTTTCTATATTTAGGAATATTCATTTAATTAATTCCCTACTATTTAGGAATAGTCATTTAATTAACTTCCTAATATCTAGGACTTTAAAATTAACTAAAATTTGACTTATTAGTAAATTTTTCCTTATTTTAATTATGTAGATTAATCCCACCAAAACTTTTTTGTCTTATAAACGTGTGTAGTTAACATTATGACTTAAGGTAGTAGTCACTTTTTTTATTTTGACATTTTACTTAAACGAGTAATTAATTAAGTTGAACTTATACCATTCAAACTATTTGTTTGTAAATTTTTTCCCTTTATTCAACGTATATAGACATTAGGAATGAGCATTTGATAAGGATTTCAATGTTAGTTTAATATTGATTTATCTCCTTTATTAATTATTTTATATTTTTAGATACACATTTTATTCACGATATTTAATTATTTATTTAATATTAAAAATTTTAAATCAACTAAAGTTTTAGTTATTAAATAACTCTTTATTTGAATTAGATAAAAATTATAATATTTTAAATTTTGAATCAATTAAGATTTTACTTTAAATAAATTATTTACTTTTTTGAAGTTTGTACCATAATTATAATACATTCCATGTTAAATGTTTTAGTATTTAGCATTTTAAAATTAATTAAAATTTTATTTTTAAAATTTTTTATATAATATTTAAAGCTACACTCAATAATTTTTGACTTGCAAACATCATCTATAAATGTATAGAATTTACTCAATAATTATAAAATAACATATAATCAATAAATATTTTTCTATTGACGTATGCAAACTTGAAATAATAAGGATGAAATAATAGAAGATGAAATATATTCTAAATGATTTATTGTTAATTATTTTTCTTTTTCTTTTTATAAATATTCTAACAAATGACAACTCCGTATATTTTTATATATTAGTTTATTATTATAAATTATTCACTCAACAATAGTCATTTTAAAACTTAAATTTTCACTTATTAAATTTTATAGGAATTACAGGCCAACTCGTCGTGATAAAAGTAATTATTTTACTTGTTTGTTCGATATTAAGGCATAAAAATAACAAAAAATTTCATAAGATATTCTTACAAAACTTAAGTACTTTCATTGGGTTGGATTTGGGATCAATATATATACTTTTACAAAGTTATATATTTTATTTTTATTAGAACTCAAAGATACTGTTTAATATAATACTTATATGAGTTTTTGAAAATTATTTACTTAATGATGTGGGGAACACGCGCAACGTGCATACCCTAAGACTAGTATAATTTAAATTTTTTTGGCCATATTTTTATAGTACATATACTTTTCAAACAAAGAAGATTTAATGAGCTCTCTTTTTTCAGCCTTGCTCTCCGACTACCAAAACTATCCGTGCATTACACGAACATAAAGACTAGTATCAATAAATATTTGATGATCGACCTTGAAATTGCTATAGGAGTTAATAAACTTAAATTCTTGGATCCAACTCTGACCAAAACATGACAAAGTGAGGCAAATTTAAGATTTGAAGATCACAAAATATTACTCTGCTTACCACAAACCTATCACTAGCTCCAAAGAACAAATAATGTTTTATTCGGTTCGTTCAATTTGTTTTGGATTAATTAAATTATTTCATGAAACATTCTCTTATGAACCAATTAAACCAATTTTAATCTATTCTTTTAACTCAACTTCAATTAAATAAAAATTTAAAAAGAACTTAAAAACTAAAACTACATTTAAAATAAGAAATTACACTCCTTCAATCCAAAAATAATGTAATTAAATCTCAATCAAAAACAAAATGTGGTTAAAATTTTTAAATCGACAGTCGCATATTTCTTCAGCGACTTACCGTTAAATAGCGTCAGGGGATGTAATACTCCTTATACTGGGTGACATTCTTGCTCCCGAAACTCCAACCCGATTGAAAACCCTGCCCTTATTATAACCCTGAAGGTTATGAAGTTGAGCGTTGTAGATGTCTGATTACTCCCCACATGGGCGAAGCTATGTTGGCCGAAGGGTGGTCAGTTGACCACCCTTCGGCCAAAATTTATACTACGTATAAGGTAAAATATTACTTGTTATTGATTAAAAATAGACTTTGAACACCCTTGCATAGTCCACCGTCAAAGGGTGTTCAAATTTTGAGCACCCTTATTGAATTTCCTGACTTCGCCACTGGTTTCCATTATATGTAGCCTATTAACACAATATTGAAGGTTGCTCAGCTTCTGAAATTACTGTGAGCTATATACATTTTCTACTTCTTACTTGGATATTTTCTTGCTTGTTGAACGCAATTTTGAATAGACTTTGAAATACAAGCATACCGAGTGTGGATTTAATTATATATGTTTGTTCTTGCTTCACGATATTAATTATAAGGCAATTCGATAATTAGGATTTATGTATAAGTAGTCTTAGACTGTACAGTTGTCACGAATTGCTAGGGAGTAGATTTGGGACTGGCTGCCTGGTATGGTTTGATGGAAGTAAAAATGATACTCTTTCAATTCCCAAACGAATAAAATTATAATATATGAGAGTTCTAATTTTTTTCCTTTGACTATTATAATTTTTTTCCCCCAAAAGCTCGTGATCAATAGAACGTTTAATATAATTTCAAATATTATAATGTTTACTTCAAATTTACTGAAGCAATGCAAAAATAAAATTTTATATCTCAACTTCAGACTTTTCATTCTTTTCATAACGAATGAAGGCATGCATATATTTTTTCCATTTATTCTTAGACGATGAAGTGAGAAATTAATATGCACATCTTTTGTTTTAATACTATGACCGTTCTTCTTTTATAACTATACAATTGATTAGGCTTACTAAAAGATTGACTTTCATTTATTCTCATTAAGTTAATCTGAACTAAAAAAGAAAACATACCTAAAACTATATGTGAGCACATTATACACGCTAAGAGAAATGGAGGCATACATGCCCTATCTTTTAATAAGGCCTATGCTTGATTCATGCCTTCTTGGTTTTAGCTTGAACTTAATCGAGTATAACCATGCATTAAGCAGGGGCGGACCCACATGGTGTCATGGAGTTCGGTTGAACCCGATTCGTAGAAAAATTATATTACGTATATTGATATATTACATTTAACAGAGAATAATTAATACTATAAAAAATGTTTGAACCCACTTTAACATAAACATGCTCCTAGTGGAGGTGGCCGAGTGGGTTCAAAGTGTGAGAGAGGTGCTAGGATCTAATCTAATTTGGGGCATTTCCTAATTAGTTTTTTTTAATCCATACTTAAATGAAGTGTGTGCAACTGAAGACCAAGACCATCTTTGTTTCAAATTAAACATCATCCTCCAAATTTATTACTCTCATGTTCTCTCCTTTGTCATTTTACTATTTCCTTGACTTCTATTTCTCTTCTCTTTTCTTTGCAAATAGCTTCTTATTAGTAACAAGGAAAACTCTAGATTTATTTAAATATCTTGGAGTTAATAAAAATTTGTTAAATTAAATAGACAAATTTCTTAGAATAGAGATAAATAATTTCTTTTAACTTTCATAAAATATTTTCAGTTTTGTTAAAATTAAAGAGTACCAACTTTAAAATGATTTCATTTTGATATTGTATTAAGAGCAAAAAAGATAATAAAATGATCAAACCCTACTTGTCATACCCGACACCAAACCACAATTTATGCTATTAGATACCTTCGTCTTTGACTGAATCCGCTTGAGCAAAATTCTAAATCCGTCTTACAGTAAGAAGAAAAGAATCACTTTATCTACAATAAGAGGATATTACGTTCGAGTCATGAGTATGATTTTTTTTATTGACAAAGAGCGCATGTTTTTTTAACGAGCCTCACACGACATAAATTTAAATTAATCTGAGTTTTGCTTGTTCCAATAAAATGATTGCGCGTGGGGATAAACTTAGAATGAGACGGGGAGTGGGCTAAGTTCTGCCAGGCTGCTAGCGAACTGGGCAACTGACTAATAATTGGAACCCCTATATCCCACGTCACATTATTTGACACAATTGGAACAGAAAAAGGAATCAACCTTCGACACGAAATCGAATGCAAAAATTAATGTCACGTGGACGGGATCCAACAATTATGACTAACTGTCGCTTCGTCTTTAAACCAACGACCACNGGGTACAAAAGGAAGTCGTAAAACATTCAATTTAATTGACTACGTTTCTTTCAAACAGAACATGAAACACAGAAGACCAAACTGGGTCAATTTTGTTGTCTGCTATAAGCCTATTTTTTTTACAATACTTAGCAGTTAGAAGATAGCAAATGATAAAAGGGAAAATTACAAAAAGTAAATAATGTCCTCTCATGAAATTAAGCTAGCGTTTGACCATAAATTTTCAAATTTATTTTAAAAAATCTGATTTGGGTGAAGTTTGGTTTGAAGATGTAAATCTGTTTGAAAATAATTTTTCAAAATATATTTTACTTTTTTTGTTGTTGAAAAAACATGAAATGTGACTTATACCCATAAGCTCTAAGAACTATAAAAAATATCCAACAATACCAAACAAACAAATTTGCTAATCATGTATATGCAGTACCTTCATTGATGTCATTCATTATCATTATTACAAACCATAGTCCTGAACATACATAAGTTTGGCACAAAATTATCATTTTTATAATGTACTACATAATACACTATCCTAAAATCATGACATGATATTTTAATATCAACTGCTAATAACACAATTACTAGCCACTATAATCGTCAATCACAATAATATTATAAAATCCACCAGTCCAAAAGAAAATGATAGTAATTAGTTGATGGATTAGTTGGGTCATAATAGATGATGAGCTTTTTTATAAAATACAAAAGTTTGGGGTAATTTTTAAAATTGTTAAAAAATCAAATATTTTGGGCCAAAAAAAGCTCTAGACTCTAGAGCTAGTTTTGGGATTTGGAAAATTTATTTTCAAAAACTGCCAAAACATGGATAAAATCTATAAACAAGCATATTTTGCCAAATCTTTTTTGGAAAAAACTTGACAAAATCTATTGCAAACGGAGCTAAAGGTTGTGTTTGTTTCTTTTCTTCCCAAAAAGAAAAAAGCCATTGTAAGTTTGTAACAACAATCTTTTTGGTTCCTGAAAACTAATTTGCGCCCCAACCCCCCCCCCCAAAAAAAAAAAAAAACAGAAACAAAAGAGAAGCAAATGAATGTATACAAATTCAAACCCATATGATTTTATTTTTCTAAATACCTTTCTTTATTTATAATTTAACCATTTTCAGTCCTTTCTAGCATCATCCTAAGCTTTTAATTTACAAACTGAAAGGACCATTGACTAGACTCTAGAGAGTACGTAGTCCATTAACAACCAAATATTATCACCATTTATTGGCACTTTCCAATAACCTACCTCAAGTTCACGCACTTTTAAATATTAAATTACTTCACTAGCTCTAATTACTTGACTACTCGCTCAACAACATTTGTTTAAGGTAATCAATAATGCTGAATATAATAATCATTGATTGACAATTATTATTTCTAGTGTCATCAATTTTGTTGTGGAAAGCACACTAATGGTGGACCAATGGACTACTCCTTTACTTATGCATAAATTGCTCTAATAAAATGACTTTTCATATAAAATAATAAGTTATACATCTCAAATCTTAATTTAAAGACTGGTTTGAAATCTTGACGTTTATTACCTCTGGTCGACATAATAGTCATATAATGACATTTGATGAAAATCATCACATTTTAAAAAAATATTTTATTGACGAAATGTCTAAACATTTGATCTAATTTCTTTTTTGACTTATCGGATCAACGTTATATCATATACACTACACGCATTTGATGAATTATTGCAACTTAGAATATAATTAGGTTTTCGAAGAAAAATAAGAGGTAAAGTAGGGATAATTTAAATTGAAAAGGACAAAAGTGACAGATCAAAATAAGCGCGTCAAATGGAAAAACCCACGCGTTAGATATATACCAGTGTACAAGCCAAAACCAAAACCAGCAGCCATCAAAATAGAAACTTTAGTTAACAGCTAGTGCCATCATACGAAAGTCCAATGTTATTTCCTTGAACTTTCCGAGAAACCTCTCTTCATCTTCTTTCTTCTTTCAATTTTTCCCGCTTTCCCCTTTTTCGCTCCTTTTTCTTTCTTTCTTTTTGCCGTTGGAATCTTATCCAGTGAAAAAAGAAAGTCCTCACTACAAACAATTCAAAAATTAAACAAAGAAAAAAAAAGAAACTTTAGATCAGATCTGAAAACAGATATAGTTGAAGAAGAAGAGTGTTTAGTAAGAAAATGCAAACGAGGTATGTGGACAAACGTGCTTTGGATCCAAGTAGTAGTGAGGAAGGTCAACCTGAAAGGAAAAGACCTGCTCTTGCTAGGTAATTTACACACACAAAAAAAAGCTTTTTAAATTCTTTTGTTAAGGGTTTTTTGTTATTCTTTAATTGTTCGTTTATTTTTTATTTTTTAGCAAATCTTAGTACTGTGCTCACAGTTGGTGTAATTGGTCATCATGTAAACTTTGCTGGGATTTTGAATTTGATAATAAGAAATTGTAGAGTAGTTAGTAGGGTATTGTGAGAATTGTTGTGAAGATGTGGAGAATGATGGTTATGTTTTGTGGGGTGGTGGAAATTGTAATTTTTAATAAGAAAAATCTGATCTTAATGAATATGTTTGAGGTATGAGGTGTTATTATCAAGATACCTATAAAAAAATGAGGTATAATTATCAAGATCCTTGGATGGAAAGATAGTGAGAGCTTTCTTTATTGGTTGTTTTTAATTCTCAAGATTGAGGATAAGGATGTTGACTGCAAGAGAAGGAACATTTTAATTGAATCTGTCTCGATAAGTAGCTTGTTCTTTGTTTTGGTTCATAACTGCAAGCACTCCATTTAAAGTAGTGGTGAGGGGCTATGATACAAATAGAAGAGGTTCGTAGTGCTGTATGCTGAGAGTACAAAATGAGAAGAGGCTCATAGTGCCTAATTCATAAGCAACATTTTAAGAATTTGTGTCATTCTAGGATGTGAATTGAAAGGTTTTGAGCTTGTGACAAATGGCTCGCAATGAATATTTAAGGACGGCATCTGCCACAGTCCCACAGGACTGGGAGTGGTGCACTAGTCTGCTTTCAAATGGGATTCCTCACCGTTAGTTGTCAATAGGGTTTTCATTCTTCTCAATCATCATTCAGAGGGAGAGTTGTCTCTATATCTTGTAGCCATGGGCATACTTGAGCTTCCCAAGGGAAGTCCTCACCTGGGGTTTGTAATCCTACAAATGCTTTAGTTTCCTCTGAGTGTCTGAGTGGCAGATGCCTCTCTAACTATGGCCTATTTGTTATGGTCCATCAACTGTGTTCATCTTATCTTACGAAGTAACCAGTAAAAGCTTCTCATTTTAGAAGTCTTTAGTTCTGTTGATTGTTTGCTGTGGTGTCATCTGGTATGAAATCATGTGACCTGGATGTCTAATATTTTTTTTTTGAAAAGCTGAAATTTAGTACCTGTTATAGATTTACTCATATTTCTGTGCCTATTCATGGTAACTGTAGCACCGTTTATTGAAAAGTACATGGTTACTGCAGTGTCATTGTTGAAGCGCTAAAGGTGGACAGTCTGCAGAAACTCTGCTCATCACTGGAACCAATTCTTCGAAGAGTTGTAAGATTATTAGGCCCTTCAAAATTCTCTTCCTATTCATTGGACATTACTTATGTGAAGTTTCACTTAGACAACCAACCAATTAGTAGATATGAAAGTTCGATTCTTAATTATATAACTACTGGGGCATGATACATATTTCCAGTATGACTCAGTGCGACAGATTTTACTTCTCACGGAATAAAGCCGGTGAAAGATATTTGAGCTGGATTATTAAGTAATAGACCATTTATCTCATATGCTGAAACTTCTACTAAATATATGTGTGCTTTGATCATTGTAGAATTTTCACTGGGAACCTCTCTCTCTCTCTCTGTCTCTCTCTCTCTCTCTCTCTCTCTCAATGATCAATCAACGAGAGCTGTCTCTATATCCTGCTTATCTGCATAATTTCTGGAGTAAAATAGCTTTAAATTTTCATATAAAATGCTTACTGGGTGCACGAAATATACTTCTGTGTCTTATATTTGATAGGATAACATACTTTAAGTGTATCTGCACTCTAGTTGTTCTTTCAGTAGTTCTTTTGTTGGACTCATGCATGTTAACGTGGCCTCAACTCAAGGTTGTGCCCTTTTAGCTGTAAAAGCTGAGCTATTTATGCCTTATGTGCATGTACTTGAAACCTTTGCATCTCCATGGGCTTGTTAACCAGCCCATGAGTCTCTACATTGTTTTGAGACAGTACAGGGTGCAGAATAGTGCTCATATTTTCTGTTGGGGATGGCCAGACTATGCAAACTTGTCCATTCTTGTTGTACTTGCACAAGCTCTCTTCTATACTGGCTTTTGTTTTCTTATTTATGAACGTCCAGTTGTGTTCACAGGTTAGTGAAGAAGTTGAGCGTGCTTTGGCTAAACTTGGTCCTGCTAAACTTAATGCAAGGTATGGCTTCACATATCTTCACTAATTCTTTCAGAGCACAAGTCTTATTTTCTACACTTTTCAAGGATGTCTATATGTATGGGGAATGTTCCATTGGATGATGACAAAAAATGTGAACTAATATTCCAAGCATTAGCATGACTGAAAGCCTGGTTGAGCTTCTAATGTATTTTGTTTTAATTGGCTGTCCACTCTGTTTTGGGATTGAATTTTACGATAACCATACAGGGTTTCTCCAAAAAGAATTGAAGGACCTGATGGGAGAAATTTGCAGCTTCAGTTTCGGTCCAAACTGTCACTACCTCTCTTCACAGGAGGAAAAGTAGAAGGAGAGCAGGGTTCTGCGATACATATTGTCTTGATTGATGGAAATACAAACCATGTTGTAACATCAGGTCCAGAGTCCTCAGTTAAACTAGATATTGTTGTGCTTGAAGGAGATTTCAATGACGAGGATGATGATGGCTGGACTCAAGAAAAATTTGAGTCTCATATAGTAAAGGAGCGCGAAGGAAAAAGGCCTCTTCTTACTGGAGAATTGCAAGTGATATTGAAGGACGGTGTTGGCACTCTTGGTGAGTTGACGTTTACTGACAACTCCAGCTGGATCAGAAGCAGAAAGTTCAGGCTAGGCTTAAAAGTTGCATCAGGTTGTTGTGAGGGAATTCGCATCCGTGAGGCAAAAACGGATGCCTTCACTGTCAAGGATCATAGAGGAGAATGTAAGCCCATATAGTGTGCCCTTTTTTGTATGGAAACTACAATTATGTTTGTTGAGGTTTGTAGTAACTCTATGTGACTGTTTCCTTGCAGTGTACAAGAAACATTATCCACCTGCATTAGATGATGAGGTTTGGAGATTGGAAAAGATAGGGAAAGATGGATCCTTCCATAAGAGGCTAAATAAAGCTGGTATACATAAAGTGGAAGACTTCCTGCGACTTGTTGTGAGAGACTCGCAGAGGCTCCGTAATGTAAGATTTTTAAACTTGACAAGTTGGAGAAATAGAATGATAAATTTAGTTGTATATTAATGTTCCCTCTTTTTTGGGTTTTTCATCTTGTTATCACAGATCCTGGGAAGTGGAATGTCAAATAAGATGTGGGATGCTCTTGTGGAGCATGCAAAAACCTGTGTTCTAGGTGGGAAGCTTTATGTCTATTATCCTGATGATATGAGAAATGTTGGTGTTGTCTTTAACAATATCTACGAGTTATGTGGTTTAATCTCTGGTGGGCAGTATCATTCAGTTGATTCTCTTTCAGAAAATCAGAAGGTTTGCAATCTGTAGCCAGTTCTCTCTTTTGTGTAATTCGGTCTCTTGGATTCATCTAAACATGCTTAAGAAAAGAAGGAAAAAAACAGGCACTCTAATTGCAACCTCCTGAATTGCCACAATAGTTGAAAGTGCTCTGAACTTATTCCTTTTTTCTCTGTGACATTTCATAACTTTGCAAAGTAGTAGTGGTGATTGGAGTTTCTGAGTGTTGCTATGATTTGCTTTAATTGACCTTTTGGATGTTATATTTTCCAAGTATGTGTGAGGAAGTGCTTAAGCAAACATCAAACAATATTTGCAGGTATATGTGGATACTTTAGTCAAGAAGGCATATGAAAACTGGATGCATGTCGTTGAGTATGATGGAAAATCTCTTTTAAGCCTGGGCCAGAATAAACCCTCAGTTACTTCTCAAAATGATCTTACAATTGGCTCTCAGAACCATTCGACCTCTTTTGATCAACAAATTAATTTACCAAGTCTTCCAGCTTCAATTTCATCGGAGCAGCCTGCTATGAATACAGGACTGAATATGGGAGGTATTAATATGCATTATTGCCTAAGATATGTGTTACTGTTAAAGTGTAAATTCTGCCTGCTCTGCTTTTACTGCTGTTTGGGCTTCTCTGTGAGATTCCTGGGTGATTGGAACAATAATTCCTCACCACCTACCATATGTTCTTCATGAATTGTGTTGAACTCTGCGCACTCTGCTTTTGTTGCTGTTTAGGGTCTTTGTGTGATTTTTCGGTGATTGAAGAATAAATCCTCACTAGACGAGTATCTTAACAAGAAGAAAAGTTTCCAAACTGAAAAAAAAAAACATAAGCGCGAATATTGGATGCCAAGTTTTATATCAATTGATTTCCTGTGAATAAGCAGGTTGTTGAATCATATCATATTTACTCCTTTTGTTCCAAATTTACATGACACTTCCTATTTTAAGGCATCCCAAAATGTTTGATACACTTCTGAATTAATACATTACAAACTTCAAGGTCTCAAATTCTTTTAACAATTTACCATAGAACCATTATTTGATGCTCAAACCAACTTCTCAATAACTATCCAATTTTTTCGATTTTATTGTTAGTAGATAATGTATACCTTGGCAATTTGTTTAACATAGAAGGAGGTCTCTCGACCTGCACTGTTTATTGCTTTGCAGAATGTGAAGGATACCTAGTTTAAGCACTGCAATTACCTGTTTAACCAGCTCCTAAGACTTGCTGTTATTGTATGTGTCAATAAATCCTCAAGCAAGCTAATTGACCAGATATACTATGACCTCATTTGTCCCTTGGATTTTTATAGTTCTACCAATTTATGACTTCATATAACATGAATATTTCATTGTTAACAGGGTATAATGATAGCCTCAGTAGCAGATATACCATGCAGCCTCATCTAAATGGCAACATGCAGGTAAATGGTGCTTCATTTCCTCCTCAGAACCATTTGCTAGGTACGTCACAGCAAGCTCAGCCACATGGAAGTGAGAGCATGCTGGCTCTTCGCCCACCACAGCCGTCAATGTCTAGCTATTTTGCTGCTAGCACGCCTAATCCATATAGGGGAGCTGAAGACTTCTTAACAGAGGAAGAAATACGTATGAGAAGTCATGAGATGCTTGAAAATGAGGACATGCAACATCTGCTCCGTATTTTCAGCATGGGACAAGGTCATGCTTCTTCTAGTGTTGGAGAAGAGAATTACCAGTATGGATCATCATACATGCCCAACATGTCTTCTACCTTCGGTTTTGATGAGGACCGGACACGTTCTTCAGGTAAGGCCGTTGTCGGGTGGCTCAAACTCAAAGCTGCCTTGAGATGGGGCATCTTCATCAGGAAGAAAGCTGCTGAAAGAAGAGCACAAATTGTTGAATTGGATGACTCCTAGATTTGATCTTTCCCCTTTCCATAGCAACCGCGTGGATGTGATGATGTTTAAAGGCTTCCTTTAAGAAGCATATCATCGCTCTTGGAATTTGATATGACAATGCATATGCATCTGGTGCTAGTTTGGGGTCGATCAGAATCTGGAAGCCTCTCTTAATGTACAGTTATGCCTGTCCGTGGAGATTTGCTCTCTCCATTAACAGAATAACATAAAGCTTATGATAGTTTTCTCAGCATATTATCTGAAGTTCAAAGACGAGAGCAGTTTTCGTGGCTCTAGCTCTGAAGGGAAATTCTCATGGTTTAGACCTGATTTCTACTACTGGGATGGACGGAATGACTTCTCTTCCCTTGTGCTAACTCAGGATTGTAGCAACATTTATTTTTATGTTTATGTTGACCGATGCTGTAATTTCTATTGTTTTATTACCATGAGTTTATTAAAGAAAACATAATGTGTTGTGAACAAATATCAAAATACGATATTGTGGACCTTCAAAGAATTTGTCATATTGAATGAATAATCGTGTTCCATTTTACTAAGAGTGAGGATCTGTTAAATCAAACAATCTCGGATCCAATTTATTTGTCAATTTTGTATCTGGCATGGCTATGAAAAGAATAGGTGAAAAATACAAATTGTTTTATATTCTTTGAGAAACATTTGGTGTCATATTTTGATTATTGTGTTGTGGAAGGGTTTAGAGTAAAAATAAATTATATCTGAACTTTTTTTGGGTGGTATCTAAACTGTATTTCATTCAAGGCAAATGAATAATATTTTGACACAACTTATAATAGGACAACTTAAAAGTATTTTGGAATTAATGAAGTGCGTTTAAGTGGCTAATTAAGTGTCTTTTTTGTTTCACTGTTTCGTGAAGGTTTAATTATGCTTCTTCAGAAAGAAAGGAGAAAGAAATATTTTTTCCATCGATCGCCTGAACATGCATTTCTCTTCTTTTTAGCCTGTAGGGCTTTGTCCAATCACTAATACAATCTTTCAACTGGAGTTTCAATGTAATTGTTTATAGCAACTGTTTAATTACGAGATGCTTAAAAATGGATGTGTATCGTTATTCCTAAGACGTCGAGCCCCAAAATGACAAACAATATGCCAAGTAAGTTGAGATCCATTTTCTTACTAAACCGAAGTTATCTCTGTGACTCTGTTGTAATCCTACAAAATCATGATTTTCTCAAGAAAAAAATCCAAAAACAATTACGAGGGATACAACAAGAACTACACCTACAGGGAATCTACATTTAAGCTTAAAAAACACTGCCTTATCTGACCAATATCGATAGATGGGGCAGAAGAGTCAGTAAGCAGAAGGTACTGACTGTCACTCTGTATCAGAGACTTCATCTTCATCTTCATCCAAGATGTAAACTAAAGCGCGCTTTCTTGCAGCAAAAACACAAGCTACACCTCTTGATGCTGACAAAGAAATTCATATTGAAATGTCAAATCACTTACTAGGATATCCAAACAAAATTCGCAATGAGTTTAGTGTCTAGCAATTGTCATCCGTATTGTATGAGAATTGTTAAAAGATAACATCATTCGTATCTGCATGAATCATTTTAAACCCAGATTTTTATTGGCTATTTCTCATGAATGGGTTAGCCTCTATAAAGACTTCCTATATACTACCAACATTTGGAACCCGAATAGTACAAAGATAGCGAACCACTCACCACTGACTGCCAGGGGAGGAACCACAGAATGTGGAATACTTCGAGCCTTTTCACTCTCCAGTTGCAGGTATATAGCAGAATCCTAGATAATCATGCAGATTAAAAGTCAACATGACTATTGTTAAAGAATGAATGTAGACAGATTACTTGTACTATACATAGATAAAATAAGTATTGAGATTTGATAGCAGATTTTTAGGATTTTCCTTTTACTTCTTTCCACAGTTAGGATCCTATGTACATGTATCACTTCATGGAATAAAACACCAACTTTGATTCTTCCATACCTTGTTTATCACATGGTATCAGAGCCGGTGTTCGGTTTGAAATCTGGCCGAGAAATAAACGGTCTCACTGGAACTTGACTGGTTTTAGGAGAGTCCTTTGGTCTGGCGAAGTAACTCTCACCATCAATCCTTTTGATATACGTGTTTCCAGAATCCGGTGGCCGGATTCATTGTTTGTGAAGCCGACGCACCGGTAAAGGAATTCTGACATAATCTGCCCCGATGGCGCGTGAGAGATCGGTTGGAGACTTGGTTCACTGTTCCTAGGTCACGTCGTTATTTTCAGCGTGTCTGGTGGTTTCTACTCGAACTGACCACGATTTGAGAAGGCTTTCTTGCTCCCAGAAGTGCTGCTCATTAACAATCTCATCCGAAAGTCCCAGGTTACTGATTTCCATCTAAACTTTGTTTCTTCCATCTTGATTTGGTCCTTCGCAACTACCTACCTATTTGGAGTCTGAAGATAATCTGGTATTTCTAAATTCTTTTAGTGATGGAATATACTTCATTATTCTTGGTTATATTTTCTGGTGGAGTATATTACTGGTTTGTGTGATTTGTTGGTGCATCATTGGTTCTTTGGTTTGGTCATATTTCTGGTGGAGTATATCTTTATTGACTATCTGTTTGGAACTTAGTTAATCTATTCTTGAATATATTTCGTGAGTTTTATTAGTTAGAAATATAGAATGACTATAAAAAATAAGCAAGGAGGAAATAGTGCTACAACTCCTAGTCCAACAATCTTGGTCTCGGATGAGTTTCTTGAGTTCCTTCAATATCATAAATCAATGAAGAAATCTTCTTCAGTTACTGCTTTTGCTGGGTCAGATAAGACATGTCTTACCACCTCTTCAAATAAATGGGCGATTTGATTCAGGTGCCACAAATCACATGACAGGTAATCCAAATATTTTTTCTAGCTTTCGATCACACAAAGCAACCTCTTCAGTTACTGTAGCTGATGGAACCACTTGTAGCAGTATTGGATTTGGGACTGTTAAACGAACTTCCTCTATTACTCCGTCATCTGTATTAAGTCTACCAAACTTGGCCTTTAATTTGATTTCTGTTAGTAAAATCACTAGAGACCTTAATTGCTGTGTAGCGTTCTTTCCCAATCATTGTTTGTTTCTAGATCTTATGACGAAGCAGATTATTGGTAAAGGATATTTATCTGGTGATCTCTATATCCTTGATGAATGGGAGCCACAGTCTATTGCATGCTCCAGTATCGTGTCTCCTTTTGAAGCACATTGTCGATTGGGGCATCCCTCTCTGCCTTTGTTGAAGAAGCTCTGTCCTCAGTTACAGAATATTTCTTCATTGGATTGTGAGTCATGTCGATTTGCAAAACATCATCGTATCTCGTTAGGTCCACGGGTTAATAAGCGAGCTGAGTCAGCTTTTGAGTTAGTTCATTCTGATGTTTGGGAACCATGTCCTATTGTTTCTAAAATCGAGCATAAGTATTTTGTCACTTTTGTAGATGATTTTTCCCGGATGACTTGGATTTATTTTATGAAGAGTCGCTCTGAAGTGTTTACTCACTTTTCTGCCTTTTGTGCTGAAGTCAAAACTCAATTCAATGCTTTGGTGCATATTCTAAGGAGTGATAACGCTAAAGAATACATGTCAGAGTTATTTCGGTCCTACATAAGACAACATGGTGTACTACATCAGTCTTCATGTGTTGATACACCCTCTCAAAATGGAATTGCTGAGAGGAAGAATAGGTATCTACTTGAGACAGCTCAGGCACTTTTGTTCCAAATGAAGGTTCCTAAACATTTCTGGGCTGATGCGGTCTCCACGACTTGCTTTTTGATTAATCGCATGCCATCTACTGTGCTTGGTGGCAATATTCTTTTTCCAAATAAGTCATTATTTCCCGTGGAACCTAAGGTGTTTGGAAGCACATGTTATGTTCCAAATGTTCGACCATCTGTTACCAAGTTGGATCCCAAGGCATTGAAGTGTGTTTTTCTTGGTTATTCTCGCCTTCAGAAGGGATATCGGTGTTATTCTACTAAACTTGGCAAATATCTGGTGTCAACTGATGTAGTATTTTCAGAGACTAAACCATTCTTCTATGCACCTCCCGTCTCTACAAGTCAGGGGGAGGAAGATGAGTGGCTAGTATATAAAGTTATTCGTACTTTGACTGAACAATCAGATGATGTTTCTCAATCTCCTAGCTCTTCTATCGAGCACCTATCGACTATTGTGCCTTCATCACCTACTCCAACTGTGTTAGCAAGACCACCAATTGTTCAAGTTTACTCGCGGAGGCGAGAGACAAATGATATAGGTTCTGCATCAGTTCCTTCGTCATCTGATCCTCTTCCGCCTGATCCTCCAGAAGACCTTGACCTTCCCATTGCTTTACGCAAAGGTACACGTACTTGCAAATCCACATATTCTATTGCTAATTTTGTTTCCTACGATCACTTATCCCCTGCGTCTAGATCTTTGATTGCGTCTCTAGACTCTATTTCTATACCCAAAACGGTGAAAAAGGCTTTGAATCATCCTGGATGGTCTGAAGCCATGCTTGAGGAAATACATGCCTTAGAGGAAAACCATACTTGGGATTTAGCTAATTTACCAAGTGGAAAGAAAGGAGTGGGATGCAAATGGGTCTTTACGGTCAAAGTTAATCCAGATGGTTTTGTAGCGAGACTTAAGGCCAGACTTGTGGCCAAAGGGTATGCTCAGACTTATGGAGTGGATTATTCAGACATCTTCTCTCCGGTTGCCAAACTTACTTCTGTCCGCTTGTTCATTTCTCTAGCAACTTCTGAGAATTGGCCTTTGCATCAATTGGACATTAAGAATGCCTTTCTTCATGGTGATCTTCATGAAGAGGTGTATATGGAGCAATCAACTGGTTTTGTTGCTGAGAGGGAGTATGGGAAGGTCTGTCATTTGAAGAAGTCCTTATATGGCTTGAAGCAGAGTCCCCGGGCTTGGTTTGGAAAATTTAGTGAGGTAGTTCAAGAATTTGGGCTGAAAAAGAGCAAATGTGATCATTCAGTCTTCTACCGGCAATCAACAGCTGGATCTATTCTCCTGGTTGTATATGTTGATGACATTGTTATTACAGGAAATGATTATGCAGGAATCTTTCTCTCAAGTCTTTCATGTATACTAAGTTTCATACGAAAGACTTGGGACAACTGAAATATTTCTTGGGAGTAGAAGTAAATAGATGCAAGAAGATCTCAGCGAAAGTATATTCTTAACTTACTGGCAGAAACTGGTAAGTTGGCTGCCAAGCCTTGCAGTACTCCAGTGGTTCCTAATTTGCATCTTATGAAAGACGATGGCGATCCATTTAATGATCCAGGTAGATACAGGAGGTTGGTTGGGAGATTAAACTATCTCACTGTGACTCGTCCAGATATTGCTTTTGCTGTAAGTGGCTGTAAGTGTTGTTAGCCAGTTTATGTCCGCTCCTACGGTCAAACATTGGGCAGCACTGGAACAGATTCTATGTCACTTAAAAGGAGCCCCTGGACTTGGCATATTATACAACAATCGTGGGCATTCTCACATTGAGTGTTTCGCAGATGCGG